CTTAGAACTGGTTAAAATCAACAATGATAATAAAACAAAATAAACCAAAACATTTAGAAAAACTTAAATTTTTGGCAAAAATAACTCATAAATGTTCGAAATGCCTTCCATAATTCATAGGTTGATTCCTCTTTTCAATGAACCAACCCGTTTTGAAAAATAACTTTCAGTTTTTGAAAAAACAATATCTGAAGTTTTGATAAAATTTTCACCGATAACTTTCAAAATTCGCTATAAAATTAATTTCTTGAAGGATCCTTGTGGAAATATCACCAATTATTTATTAAAGTATCCTCTTTTTAATGCAAAAAGCCGTTTTGAAAAATCACTTTTAGTTCTTGAGAAATAAATTTTTGAAATAATCGACAATTTTTTCGAATTTTGCAATTTTCGCCGATTAAGTTTTAAAAATTCGTATAAAATCCATTTCTTGGAATATGAGTATGAAAATTTCCCAAAGTGTTAATAAAAGTGTCCTCTTTCCAATGAACCAACCCGTTTTGAAAAATAACTTTTAGTTTTTGAGAAAACAATATTTGAAGTTTTGATAAAATTTTCGATGTTGCAATTTTCATCGATAATTTTCAAAATTCGCTATAAAATTAATTTCTTGAAGGATCCTTGTGGAAATATCACCAATTATTAATTAAAGTATCCTCTTTTTAATGCAAAAAGCCGTTTTGAAAAATCACTTTTAGTTCTTGAGAAATAAATTTTTTAAATAATCGACAATTTTTTCGAATTTTGCAATTTACGCCGATTACGTTTTAAAAATTCGTATAAAATTCATTTCTTGGAATATGAGTATGAAAATTTCACAAAGTGTTAATAAAAGTGTCCTCCTTCCACAAAACCAACCTGTTTTGCAAAAATAACTTTTAGTTTTTGAGAAAAGTTAATCTTTTTATGTTTTTTTATGCTTTCTATTCCATCATTGATTTTATCACTCTGCCAGCAGTAACTAGAATCCAACAAGGAATAGGTAGTCTTTGACAAAAGTTCAATTCTCTGCGAATAACATTTAGCCTTCTGGCACTAATATCGAGTCTTCTGCCAATATGGTCAGTTTTCTGAGTATATAAAAAAACGTTTCTTAACTTATTGACATTAAACAATCTAGAAAATTTGAAAACAGTAACAACAATTTTCATTAGATTATAATTTTTGAATTATTATATTGTTATTTCGATGTTTTTAAATAAATGTACGAAATAAAATAACTTTAAATAGTTTCTTTAAGCAAAAACCTTAAACCGGACTAGAATTTAGTTCATTTGAAGTTGTAGAAAAGGGCTCACGTTCCGTATTAGTACCAGTTTGGACTTGCACAGCAGGCAGAGATCCGTGAAGTATTCGCGTGCTAAAAGTTTTCGCACAAGCTTAAAGCTACCTCCTACTATGTAAAAGGGAGGGGGTAAATTAGCGATTCTGGATGCGTTCTCGTTCTCCGGAAGCGAATCCAAAGAAGCATTTCCGAGGAAATGAGGTCCAACTTATAAACTTCTTCCGGTTTTTAAAAACTTTTTAAAATCAATATTTTAAGTTTAAAGAAGAGAAATATTGTTATAACATTATATTAATGTATAAAGAATAAAAATCGTGATTTCCAAGTCAAATGTATCAAGAATAACTTTTCTAAGAAAAAAAATAATACAAAAAGGGGATAAACAGTCACTTTTATATATTGGAAGGAAAATAAATGTGAAATTCGTAGCACGCGTGCCAACAAATAACGATCCCTAGTTGTCGTCAACTGTGTGTAGTTGAAATTTGAGGGTTTTCCCCCACACTTTTCCAACTTGATTGAATTTCAGTTCCTTTAACACGCGCGAGTTTCGATATGTTTTGTTTACACATTTATGAGTTTATATTATGAAACTATTTTCTTTTTATATATATATATTTTTTTATGAACGATTTTTTTCATCCTAAGGGAAAATGCTGTTGAAAGTAGGTTGTCTAACGACGGACGGGAGTTCGTAAATTAAATTTCCTTTCCTGAAATACTGCTAGGAATCCACGCCGGGACGAATACAACCCGAGAAACTTTTCAAACCACCTCTGAAGGGGTCGGTCGGAAAAGTTCACCTCCCAGGTTCTAGGTTAGTTGTCCATTCTCTTTATCTGTAAATTTAAATCTATTTTTTTTCCACAAAAATCGTTTTAAAATAACAAAAAAAAACTCATTTATCAAAAATTTTACTTAAATCTCCCGATTTTAATTGGGGGGATTTAGAGCTGATGGGTGGTTATGTTTTGCGGCTTTTATATTTCCGTTAAGTTTTCAAGATAACGACTTCCAGATGAGGATCCATTTTTTTTTATATTCTGCCTTTTTTTACGTGGTTGTTTCGTCCTACCCAAAGTAATTAAACTCGTCGTTTATCAATGTTTGAAAGTTTCTGAGATATTTTCGTAGTAATTAGGTCTCCAGACGGGATTTAACTCAAATTCTTTTTTTATAAATCATTTAAAATGACTACTTCATTTTTCATTTAATACTGTAATCATAAATTAGTGTTATAATTTTCTTGTTAAAACAAATTAATTAAAAAAAAAACCTTTTAAAAGGAGTTTTAGAGAAAAAAGTGGAGACCAACATCTTCGTTGCACGTATTGTACCTATGATTGATATTCTGGTAAACTCGCTCCTTCACACCTGGTGTATATGCAATCAGTCTTGCAACAACCACAACTCGTGCCACCACATCTTCTATATCTATAGGAGTCTCATAAACCAAACTCTTCAGATCACCCCAGAAGAAAAAATCCAATGGAGTCAAATCCGGTAATTGTGGATCATCTTTGTCTAAATCGTTGGTGCAGATGTTCCCGAACATGAAGTGAAAAATGAAAAATTATTATGAATATAGGTATAGTCCAATCACATGACCATTCAAAATAGGTACCTGCCCACACATTGATACCAATTCTGTGTTAGGATCCCTGGACACACGTGACGTGAGGGTTTTGGATAACGATCTTTATAAAGATGAGCGGTTTTCTATTATCTCGAGCTTCGAATGAGACTCAAGCTTCGAGAGGAAGGAGACGTCAATTGACATCAGCCGTTTGAAAACAGGTACGTTTTCGAAGATGGGTTCCAATTCAAAATATTATCTACTTAGTACCCTCTACAAGTCCTAGAAGTTTGTAAAGTTTACAAGAGATTTTATATATCGTATTGGGATTGTTACAATGAGCTTTCTAAAGACAAACCTGATATAAACAAAGTTGTATTCAATGAAAAAAGTCCTATTGGGGTTGAACTTGATTATTATCTGCAGTGTCCAACACCTAAAAGAGGTACTAATTCCTGTACTAAGCAATAGGTTTTTAATATCCGGCCAAAGCCGATAGGCCGGACACCGGATAGTTGCCGGATAGCCGTTCCACCAGTAGTCTACATGTTGTTTCCAGAATAATATATGCTACCAATGAAAGATAACTTTATGGACAGCTGGTTGCAGAAGACTCCTACTATCACAATACTAAACATTACTTGAAGAAAAGTAGATGCTACCAATGGAAGATAATACTATATAGATCCTACTTTTAGAAGACCTATTGAAAACCTTGCAGAAGAAAACTAAACACTGAATGAGGACAAATAGATACTTCCAATGGAACAGACTGCTGACAGAAGGCTGGAATACTGTTTGCAGAATTCTACTTATTTACTTATATATAGATACTTGCTGCTGGGGCGAAAACTAGATATTGTTTGTAGAAGGTTAGACTGAGTAGATGTTGTTTATGACATAATAATCTTATAGAAAATTGAATACCGCTAGAAGAAGACTAAATATTGATGACAAAGGAATGAATACTGCTAAGACCAGATACTGTTCATTGAAGACTACCTATTCCTTACAGAAGACTATATACTGCTGAGAGGAAACGAAGAGGAAAAGTGATTACTACCAATCAAATATAATAAATTTATTGAAAACTAGATAGCGATGTTAGAAGACTAGGTGCTGATTGCAGAAGACTACAGGGTGCTGACGTAGGACTAGATACTGCTTGTAGTTGCTTCAAAAGAAAGATAATCTTATTACACTACTAACAGAACACTAGATACTAGTTCCAGAAAATTTGATATTTATAAGTTTTTTATTATATTGACAATATACCGAAATATATGTTTGGTTATGAACAATAAAAGTTTAGGTTCACATGAAATTTTGAAGTAAAATGTCGTTATTTAAAGACCAAATTGCATTAGGATTGTTAATTTTTGTTTTACAGTGGACTTCAAAACGTTCATATATACAGGGTGTACGAAAAATAAATGCATTTCTTCAATGTGCGTACTATACAGGTATCATCCATGAATAAAGAATCAAAAGAAATCGAAACGTAACAATTAATAACACCATTTAAGACGACAACAACCATGATAATAGCAATTATCCCAACAATACCAATTAGAGAAATCAAGCGAATGACTTCGAGCCGGATATTTTACTAAACTACGTAAAATGGGTTTTAGCAAATACATATTAATAATTAATTATTTCGGAAACAAGCTTAATTAGCCCATGTACTTTATAAGCAAAAATTGTTTCAATTACCATGGATTGTTTGTCCTTAAAGTTAATGCACAATTTCTGTTACTCTCTGAATGACATTAAAATTTGAATATATTTTAACAAACATACATTTAAAGTTAATTACGTGATGATTAGAAAAGAAGTATATCTTGTATGTATAATGTAGTTGTAATTGGTTCCATTCTAAGCTAAGATAGTAAGCTAAGTTTGTATTTGAAAACTACAAAATTTTTTTTTTTCAAATTTTAAGAAATTCCTTTTTTCACCTAAATTATCCTGAATCGTATCGTCCAGAATGGATCAAAACCGGGGAGGTAGAACAGAGAAGAGATAGATATAGGTGGGAGAGCTTCCGTTGGGCAGCTTGTTGCGCGAGAATCGTCGCGTTATGGCGTTGGATGGCGCTTGCGTCGCCGGCAATTTTAACTCCATCCGTCGTGACGCCAGTCTCCTCCAGTAACATTCGAAAAGTACGCCCTGATAGCACTCCGATAGATTTTCCCCGGTTCTCGCGAAATCGTAAAGAATCAGTTTTGTATCAAAAACGTCAAAAAAAAAACACCTTTCTATTGGAAAAAGAAGAAAGTGTTGCAACTTCTTTTTATATTCTTTTATAAAATTGATTTTTTTTTGTTGAACTAAAAACATTTTTTTTGTCAAGTGATGTGATGTGATTTTTCTTCTTGGACATCTTCAGGATTTTTTGGGGGTCAAAAAATTTTCATCGCGAACAGTAAGTTTTCTTCTAATTTTATTCATATTTTTATAATTAAGATAATAATCTTTTCGCGAATTTTGATTGAAATTTTTAAATATTTTTGACTCCGATTGATTTTGATGTTTACCATAAAATTATTGCGTTCAAAACAAACGCGAAAATGCTACAAAAAGAAAACACTCAGTTGACGACCACTTAAAGTTATTTTATAGCCAGGATTACGGGTCGCAAAATGGTTAATGAACAAAAACTAACGACTCAATGATGGAAAACCACTTTTTTATGATTCCATTTGATCAAACAATTTTTTATTTTGAGTAATCATGAAGGTTTCATTTAAAATCGATTTTTCCAGAGATTTCAACTTCAATTGGTTAAATTACAGTCAATTTAGTGCATAATAAAACGAGGAAATTGCAGAAAATTGATTCATTTGATTTATTTGCAACTCTAACATAACGTTTTATTAGATAAATATTCTACATTAAAAATAATATAATAATTTAATCTAATAAAGTAATATTTATTAGCTGAACACAATTTTACAGAAAACATCAACAAAATTGTGTTAATTTGATCCTTATTCATACAATATGATGACGCACTCTCAATAAAGACATAAAACTGGTTCTGCCGACCAACACTACAGGTCTAAAACAGGGCCCAGAACAACAAACAAACACGAGAAAGCACCGAGAGCTTTCGCCAGAGATCGAGAGGTAAAGCAAAAGAGAGAGAGAGAATATTCGTGTATACTGTAGCAAAACCTTCCCTGGCTGATATTTGCTTTTAGAGGAGGAGTAGCGCCCACCCCTTTGAAATGGGGATCGCGATAAGGACAAACAAATAACTAGTTTAGACGCGGGGAGCGCCCCCTAGTCCAAACTCCGGGTAACTCTCCGCAACTGCCACTGAAACCACAAGCAACGCGAGTTTTAACCGGCCCAATGTTTTGTGAAAGCGAAAATGGAATCGAATTCAAATTTTTTAATTGTTTATTATTTTTTATTTGGATAGAAAATTGAAAATCCTTTGAAATGAGGCTAAACACGATGCGACGTTATAGCGGAAAGTCCGTTACATGAAAAATTTTAACCACATCGTTGCGTTCATTCTATGTGGCTTTATATTTATACCAAGAACGGTAGAATCCAAGAAGACTGCTACATCCAAGTAACAGGTGCACAGCTCGAAGGCCCGTTTGTGACGTCACGCATGGGTAGGCAACTACTATTTCACACTTGACAAATGCTTAATATATTCTATTCGTGTTTTGTANTGGCTTTATATTTATACCAAGAACGGTAGAATCTAAGATGACTGCTACATCCAAGTAACAGGTGCACAGCTCGAAGGCCCGTTTGTGACGTCACGCATGGGTAGGCAACTACTATTTCACACTTGACAAATGCTTAATATATTCTATTCGTGTTTTGTAATATAAAATAGGTGTAATGTTATTGATGGTAGCGTACGGGATTCGGAACATATTAGAAAAATATTTTTAGCACAAAAGTTGTGGTAAATTGTATTCTTAACAATATTGCTCTTTCTCACCTTTGCTCTTAGATGCATAAATATTGAGATAAACAAGGAAATCTGAAAAGTAGGCGAAATCGTGGTTTTACTTGTTGTTGATGTTAGCGCACAGGATTCGGAACATATTAGAAAAATATTTTTAGCACAAAAGTTGTGGTAAATTGTATTCTTAACAATATTGCTCTTTCTCACCTTTGCTCTCAGATGCATAAATATTGAGATAAACAACGAAATCTGAAAAGTAGGCGAAATCGTGGTTTACTTGTTGTTGATGTTAGCGCACAGGATTCGGAACATATTAGAAAAATATTTTTAGTACAAAAGTTGTAGCAAAATGTATCCTTAACAATATTGCTCTTTCTCACTTTTGCTCTCAGATGCATGAATATTGAGATAAACAAGAAAATGTGAAAAGTAGGCGAAATCGTGGTTTTACATGTTGTTTATGGTAGCGCACGGGATGAGGAACATATTAGAAAAATATTTTTGGTACAAAAGTTGTAGCAAATTGTATTCTTAACAATATTGCTCTTTCTCACTTTTGCTCTCAGATGCATGAATATTGAGATAAACAAGAAAATGTGAAAAGTAGGCGAGAAATCATGGTTTTACATGCTGTTGATGTTAGCGCACGGGATGAGAAACATATTAGAAAAAAATTTTTGGTACAAAAGTTGTAGCAAAATGTATCCTTAACAATATTGCTCTTTCTTACATTTGCTCTCAGATGCATAAATATTGAGATAAACAAGAAAATGTGAAAAGTAGGCGAAATCGTGGTTTTACATGTTGTTGATGTTAGCGCACGGAATTCTGAACATATTAAAAAAAATTTTTTGGTGCAAAAGTTGTAGCAAATTGTATTCTTAACAATATTGCTCTTTCTCACTTTTGCTCTCAGATGCATGAATATTGAGATAAACAAGAAAATGTGGAAAGTGGGTGAAATCGTGATTTTCCATTGTTGATGGTAGCGCACGGGATTAGGAACATATTGGAAAAATAATTTTAATATAAAAGTTGTAGCAAATTTTATTCTTAACAATATTGCTCTTTTTCACTTTTGCTCTCAGTTTCATAAATATCGAGAAAAATGCGAAAATGTGAAAATTAGATGAAATAATTGCTAGCTAAGCATTTAAATATTGTAGAAATCAACTGTAAATGAAGTCAATATATTTCACTGTTTTAAAACAATATTGCGACTATTTAAAACAACAATAAATTTATAAATGTATAAATATTTTTTATTTTATGTTACAAAAAAATATATAATAATTTATTGAAGTAAACTTCGTACACATTCCTTAAAAAAAATCGCTTGTTAGAGAATGTTCGTGATAAAACTTTAATGAAACACAAACACAACAAAACGTATGCAAATTAACTGACGAAGCGCTGTTCGTTCGTTTCGGGAGTGCTGTTTTTTTATTAATCCTGGACACCCGGAACCTTGATAAACCATTAACGCAGATCACTACGCAGAAATAATTTAGATAAAAATATCGAACGATCGTTGGTTTCAAAAATTTCAACTCAATCGAGTTAATAAATACCGGAACGCATGCTTTCGTAAATTTGTTTAAATAAATATCCAACTGGAAATGGTTTAAAATAAATAAATCGATTCCAGATATTTGTTTAATTATAAACGAACGAAAGTTTTCAAAAGATTCAATACGAAATAACTTTAGCGGGTATAACAAAAGATTTAACGTCTAATTGAACTGTATTTAGTATCAAATTTCGAGAGCCAAAATGTAATTTGGTGCACAATTCCATATCGAACCGGCTCGTCTAACTGGATAATCCTGAATTATTCGGCACATTATCTAATTGAAAACACATCTCATATTGTTAAGAGTAGAGTGAACTACCTAAACAGAGAGGGAGAGAGAGATTGTTAGAGTCGTGGTTTCGGAACAAAGCAGAAATTGGATTAAGAGCACCAGGTATCGTTATGCTGAATTTATTAACCCATTGAAATTGCAAAATGTGTAAACATATTATATTACATTACATAAATTCTGATTTAATTTTAAATTTTAATTAGAAACTTTTAATTGGTAAAACTCGCAAAAGTATTCTTATCTCACACGTGAAATTGAAACAATGAAATGGGGTCATACACGATTTTTTTTTTATTATATTTTCTGAAAGTTTATATAAAAATATAGTTACCGTNAAAAAAAATTTTTTGGTGCAAAAGTTGTAGCAAATTGTATTCTTAACAATATTGCTCTTTCTCACTTTTGCTCTCAGATGCATGAATATTGAGATAAACAAAAAATGTGAAAAGTAGGCGAGAAATCGTGGTGTTACATGTTGTTTATGGTAGCGCACGGGATTAGGAACATATTAGAAAAATATTTTTAGTACAAAAGTTGTAGCAAAATGTATCCTTAACAATATTGCTCTTTCTCACCTTTGCTCTCAGATGCATAAATATTGAGATAAACAAGAAAATCTAAAAAGTAGGCGAAATCGTGGTTTTACTTGTTGTTGATGTTAGCGCACGGGATTCGGAAAATATTACAAAAATATTTTTGGTACAAAAGTTGTGGTAAATTGTCTTCAGACGCACGGCTAAACCCGAATATTTCTAGTTATAGGTCTAGTGTTAGTTCAATGAAAAATATACATCAATCTAACGCTGAATAAAAAAGAACACAAATTTTTAAATACAGTTTGTACTAAAAACTGTGTTTAAAAAACAAATTTCTTTTTAATAATAAATATTATTTTCAAATGACACGTGTACAGCATTTCTACTTTTTAATTACAATTTTATAACATAATCGTGCTCGTTATCTCTTTCAGAATGGTTAGTTGGATTGTTTTCAATTTAAAATATGTTAATTAAACCCGTCCTGATGAATCGCACACTTTTATAAAAAAAACAACATTAATTCATTCCTTAATTGACATTTAAATTTTTTACTCAAATATAACCTTCAACTTTTTACGTTTTAAGTGCTTCGCCTACAATTATTTTATTTGTAGTAATTAATATTTTTAATTAATCATTTTCGAATAATATCGACGAGAGATGGAGACCGCAAAGGTGTAATTATAGTCATAGATCTCAATAGTACAGTGACAGCGTAGGGTCGAAACCTCCTGAAAACGCGAATAACGCGTCAACGACGTGATTTATACATTTTGGGGAATGGGGCCCCAAAGGGTGTAGACCGATTATGGCCGAGTCCGCGGTTTTGGTTTCACAACATCCATAGTTTCTGTTGTAATTAGTCGATAACGACTTTCCTAGGTCTATTATCGCAGCGATAAATCAACAATTAAAACCCCTCAGTTCGTTTGAAAAATATTTAAATTAAAATGTTTTTTATGACTTTTTGAATGTTTTCCTTGTTCATTAATTTGGATCATTTTTGTCATCACTTTTACGACTCGGTTTTCCTCCCGAAACGACCCATAAGAGTTTTAACGGGTATAAAATGGGGTGCGGTTTCTGA